TGCGGCTTCCTGCCTCGCTGCTCATGCAGCATCTGTGTTGCATATCGATAATGGAATCGTTGCTGCCGATTTTGATGAGACGACTGGGCTCGTGGCGTTTGGCCACGCTGGCCAGGCATGAGTTTCCCCAAGCGAAATGAGTCAGCTACTAAGCTTTAGGTGTGAGTTCGCCCAAGTGAAATGAGTCAAACGGTTCTCTGTTTCGGGCAAGCCTCAGGCGTCGGAACGTGTGGAGTTCTCGGGCGACTACTGGGAGTTGCAGGTGAACAACCGCACGCTCTCCGCAAGCAACGGCTGCAACTCCTCGACCGTGAAGCAGGATGGCAACAATGTGTCGTTCGGGTACCTGTGTGGCAATCTCACAGTCAAGATTTTGTACAATCTGCCTACGGCGGCGCAACACCTGCAGAAGCAAATCTTGGTGTCCTATGCGAGCACAGCCACTGAAGCAGGCACCATTGATTTTGAAGCAGCTACATTCATGAAGGACACGCTCGCTCGCTGGGCCACCGCAAAGCAGGCACCCCAAACTCCCAAACCCCTAAACCGCTAAACCCTAAACACTCCTGAACCCTAAACCCCTAAAGCCCTAAATCCCGAAAGCCGTAAACCCCTAGACCCAAAAAGCCCCAAACCTTAAACCCTAAAGCCCTAAATCCCTAAAGCCCGGAAGCCGTAAACCCCTAGACCCCCGAACCCTCAAGGCCCTCAGCCCCCGAACCCGAAACCAGGCCCCGACGTGGTTCCTGCGCAGCAATGCGTGGAACCAAGGCTTCGAGATTGCTGGCTTCGTGCGCTGGAAGGAGCGGTTTATGGTTTGCGCGCGCGCGTGTCTTCGCAGAGGCGGTGCACAGGAGGTGCGCGCGCACGTGTTCGCAGAGGGTAGTGGGTGCTCACGGTGCGCGCTCGCGCGTGTTCGCAGACGGGGTGCGCACCGTGTTCGCAGAGGCGGCAGTCCTTGATAGTCCTCTCTTTTATTGGTGCCAGGGTTAAGTACTCCATGGGCCCATGGGGACCCACTGCGCGCTTCCAGGGGGGGAGCAACCAATACTGGGGTGAGGACCCAGTATGTGCTTGCACCTTGTTGTTGTTGGTGGCGGTAGTTGGTGCTGGTGCTGGTGCTGGAGTTGGTGTTGGTGTTGTTTTTGTTGTTGTTGTTGTTGTTGTTGTTGTTGGTGGTGGTGGTTGTTGTTGTTCTCTGCATCCGCGTCTTTTGTGTCAGAGTGGGTCCGACGACACCCTAAGGGTCTAACGGGGATTGCATTTCGCATTCCTTGGAAGTATCAGCCAAACAACAGCATGTTCTCAGAGCTCTACTTCCTGTCCTAACTATGTGAAAAACGTGATGCCAACAGACAGTTTCGAAATTTGGTCAATTATCCAAGCAGCAAAGAACGTTTAGTTCTTTTGTTGTTGCTGTCATTCTTCTTCTTGTTGTGATTATGATGATTGTTGTCAGTCTTATTCGTAGCAGTAATGTTATTCTTGCCACTATTATCGTTGATCATGATTCTTGGTATTATTCTTGTTGATTTCGGCTTCAGGATGTGAAGAGCGGCGTCTTTGTCTCTGTCGCTAACCCCTTTGGGCATCAGTTGGCCTCAGCGAAGGCTTGCGCTGACGGCAGCCCGACATGCGCAGCTATCACAGCATCCTATGCGGGTAAGGTCACGCACAAGCCATCGTTACAAGGTGCTGAGTTCATCACAGAGCCGCTTGTTCTTGGTTTGACAACCCTCAGCAAATACTCAATCTCTGGTCTTTCGACTGGAGAGGCACGTGCATTTAAGCACGCTGTGGAGGCTTGCCAGCTTGATCGCGCAGCTCGCGCGGCGGGCACCGTGAAGGTCAACGTCGCATGGGACGAGAACGACTACCAGATCGATGTTGGTGTGGATGAGGGTAAGGCAGAGTATCGCCGAATCTTCGACCGCAATGCCGAGCTCGGCATCGACCACATCGTCTATGAGCCACGCAACTCGCTGCATGCATCGCGGTTCAACGCCACAGACGACTGGGGGTGGGAGGCGAGCCTATGGTTCTCCATGGGGGAGCAGCTGCGCAAGGGTCTCTGGGATCCCAGGAAGGATGCGATGCCTCAAGACGTCCTCGATGCCGTGGCGTACGCCAAGAGCAAGGGCATCGGCCTCATGGCATATGCTTACCCGACGATGCAGTTCGAGGAGATGCGCCAGTATTGGGTGGCTGGGGGCACCAATGCGCTCTCTTTGGCACCTGCAGAGGTGCAAAACTACTTTATCGAGGTCATGACTGCGTTCCTTCAGAAGAGCGGAGGTGTTGGTTTTGCATGGGATCACGACATATTTGCAGGGGATAAGTCTTTGCAGTATGCACAGTGGCGAGGCTTTGCCAGGATCTTGCGAAGTCTACGCACACAGTTTCCCCACATTGTGATGGACCACCGACAAACGAACCACATGTGGGGCCCCTGGTATGACCTGTCGGGAAGCTATGCTGAGCCCATTGCGGGCGATGAGAACCCAGAGTCCTACGGAGGTTTTGCGCCGACGCTGCACACGGATCATATCAGTGCCGACCAGGCTCGTGCCGTTAACTACAGGTACTCCACGCAGCAGCTGCTGCCAAGCTCGCGGGTGCCAGGCTTCATCTTCCACCAGTCTGAGCGCACAGATGACGACGGGCATTTCTATTGCACCGTCCGGGAGACACTCTGCGTGAACAACAGCAACACACGAGACTTCGACTACTTGGGGTACAAGTATCTGGGTTCTTGTCAAGGTGTTTGATTTAAGTTACCCTCCTAGGGCCCTATGGCAAATAGTTGGGACTCCTTAATGTGATGGCAACTGAAGAGTTAAATTCCTCAAACAAGAACCCAGGTACTCACTCCTGAGCTCGATTGGCACGGCTGGGTTGAACAACGTTTTTACCATGGTCCCAGCTCGCGACCCAGCAGAGTTCGAGCATTTCCCGGAGGGCGACATTGCCTTCATCCGCAACTGGCTGACATGGACGGATGAGAACATGAGAAAGCTGCAGAATACAGAGTGGATCCCCTCACTTCCCGCACCCAGTGCCGGCAATGTGGATGGCACGCATGCCATGCTGGAGAATGAAGGGTTTCTGTTCCTGTACAACCCAAACCCCATGGAACTCAATGCAACATTGTCAGTGGACGAGGCAATTGGGTTGGATGGAAAGGCTGGAGAACAGTGGGACGTGACGGAGCTTTTCCCCCACCAGGGCCCAATAGGCACGTGGGAGTTCTCAGAATCTATCCATCTGTCGGTTGAAGGCGGCTCGGCTCGGGTGCTGGAGCTCACGAAGCGTCCGAGCCCTGCGTCGCGCCCACGACTTCAGGGTTTGCGGGCTCACAGCCACTTCGAGGCAACCTCCAGGCAGGTGATCCTCCAAGAGGCCGTGGGACCCTCTGGTTCTGAGGCTTTTGCCACGATCTACATGCCAGAAGAGCAGGGCGTCCAAATCGTCGTCAATGGCCGCGTGTGTGAGCACGCCATGCCCGCGGGTGCGGAGGAGGATGTGAAGGTGAAGATCCGCTTCAAAGGTCCTCGTCTGACGGGCAATGCCCCGGTGGTTCCCCTGCCGGCGAAAGACTTCGCAGGGGGCTGGCACAATGGCACCTTCTCCATCCCAGAAGCTTATTTCCAGCAGTTGAAGGCTTTGGGGACCTCCTATCCGATTCCATGGACGACCTCTGCGACTGGTTGTGGGCTGCCCCACTGCGTGGATGACAGCAAAGCCACCTGGCTCGTGCCGACGAGGTTGCTGATGGCGCCATTCATCCGGCAGGCCGAATTGACTCCTATTCCACTCCTTTTCCCATCCTTGGATTGTTTAGCCACCAAACCCACTACATCTAAGAGATCTAAGAATTGGGCCCATGTGGGTTCATCCTGTTGCTCTCTCCTTCCTTTGATGAAATCACATTCCTTCGGATTCCTTGGTCCTTTCTCCAACTTAGGTCAATGCCCTTAGGGTGTAGGGTTTATAAGGTTTAGGGTTTAGGGCTCCCCATATCTCAACATGCTATCTCCCAGGCCAAACAGGACATGGCTGTGCGACTGTTCCTGGACGGCAAGGAGGTGCAGCTGTCGAAGAGCTACAACAGCCGTGGGCGCGAGCTGGAGCACTGCTTCTGGCCCTGTTTACGGGGCTGGTGGCTAGTGGCTTAAGTCTTTGTTACTGTTACATACAGCGGAAAGTCAACAAGATTTGGTTTGTAACAGGCTCTACGATCCTTTGCAACAGGGGTTCATGTCAGAGAAGGATGTTTTGAAACCACCCCTGCAAAGTTTTAGTGTGGAGCCAGAGCACTTTAAGCAGCGGCCTGTGACACAGGGTCCGACAAAGGGTGCCCACAAGAGTAAGGCAAGAGAAAAGGGTACGGTTGATGGTATAAGTCTTGCATTACCCAAAATGAGGAACATACCATACTTCCCGTAGTTTAGGGTCCATGAGGTACTGTCGGATTTAGACCATCAACCGTACGTCTCTGCACCGTGATCCCCAAGCCTCACCCGAAACTCCGACCCCTGCCCAAAAGCCCTGGGCCCTAAACCCTAACCCCGTGGCTTCAGCAAAGAGGGAGGACAAGAGCTTCCAAAAACAAACGAGGCCAGTGTTTAGGGCTTGGGGCTTAGGGTCCAAGGCTCGGGGTTTTAGGGTTCAGGGTACCCTAAACCCTAAACCCCTAAACCAAAAACTAGACCCTAAGCCCTAAAACCCTAAACCCCTAAACCCCTAAACCCCTAAACCCCTAAACCCCTAAACCCCTAAACCCCTAAACCCCTAAACCCAAAAACAAGCCCTAAACTAAACCCTAAGCCCTTAGCCTCACGGGGTGCCGAGGCTTTCTTGGCTTCTACTTTGATGCTTCTCAGCTGGAGCCTGGCATCCACGACGTGGCGGTCTCTTTGCCCAAGCTGGAGCCAGGCCCATAGCGGACAGTTTGGGGTTTAGGGTTTTAGGGTTTTGGGGTTTAGGGTTTTAGGGTTTAGGGTTTTAGGGATTTAGGGTTTTAGGGTTTAGGGTTTAGAGCGGACAGTTTAATGTCACAATCCCCTCGCAAGAAATTATTCCCAACATGCTACAGTCCATAATGGATCTTTTTAACTAAGGGTTTAGGTGGGTGGCAGGTTTAACTTTGGGATGGTTCAACGAATCGGGTTGGAGCTAGGGTCAGGGCGTTGAGCGGGCTAGCGCCTTTTGGTTTCAAGTGGGCTGTATCTCCGGGTCTCTTGGCTAATCTAGGCGCCTTAATAATTACCTATACTATTTTGGGGGTTCCTTATCATAGTTCATAGTATAATATACCCTAAAACCCTATTCCACTTATTAAGGCCCCTACATTAGGCCAGTTCTTCGGCCTCTTTTGGCAGAACACCCGGACCGTGTACACAGACCAGATTGACTCTTGTTCGGTGTTGCCTGGGGAGATGGACCGTCCGGAGCCAATCGAGGTGCTTGTGTGAGCTGCAGTGCCTTCAAACCCACAGTGCTGCTGCATCTCTCGCGGGAAAAATGTTGAAGCCACTTTGGGTTTCGGGCTTGCGAGGTTTAAGTGTTTGGGGTTAAAGGGGGTAGGGTTTGGGGTTTCGGGGAGATTAGAACATTCCCATCATGTGCAGTTCGCTCGCTTCTCAATGCCTCACGAGGTTTGTACTCAGAACTATCACGAATCCCGGCAGACCCCGGGTTCAGGGGTTTGGGTTTAGGATTTNNCTGACCTTTCTCCTCACAAATCCGGGTTACACAGTTATACCCTGCGAAGGGTCTTCATCCAAACCGTAGCTGGGACAAAACCAGGGACTGCACTTCTTCCCTAAATCCCAAAAGAAGACCCGCGCTATGTTCGAGTCCTTGCGAGAACCCCCAGAGCGACTCCGCCTGGCAGGAGATGGCACGTCGCATCCAGACTCTGCCTCAGAACCAGTCGTTTTAGGGTTTAGGAGTTTAGGGTTTAGGGCTTAGGGTTCAGGGTTTAGGGTTTAGGGTTCAGGGTTTAGGGTTTAGGGTTTAGGGTTCAGGGTTTAGGGTTTAGGGTTTAGGGCACATTCCGGGGGGAGC